TAGATAGATTTTTTTTATTCTTTTTAGTTACCTTTGCAAATATCAGTGCAACTGAGTTTCGTTCGAGTTGTTACCAAAATTTTACTTTCCAAACTCCCATAAGTCAAAGGGACGAGGACCTCCCATTTACTCTTATCCTTCTTCTCATCATCCTCCCAAATATTATCTAGCACTAGTACGGACTTTTTGGACATGATTTGAGCCTGAAGAGAAATGCCTCAAGTATTTCCAAATGAGGTATCTCTTTCTTAAGATATTCCAACATATCTGTAATGACTTTTCCACATCAAAGTTGTTGGCAACACAAACCCACATTTTAAGATCAAATTCCTTTGTCATTTCATCTTCATAAACATGTTGTTGTGGAGTTGGCTTTCCCATACCACCATGATCAACTATAGACATAAGAGAAATGTTTATGTACCAAATAATCCAAAGGCTCGTTTGATGGCTTCCTAAACCACTGCATAATGAACTCCTTAGCATAGCTTTTACTAATGAGATCATTTGTAGGTAAGGATCTTATGGCAGGGGTCAACAACATGTCATTCCTAAATAACTATAAAAAGACCCTCATTCTTCACATGAGTAGAGGAAGAGGAAGAAGAAGAAAAAAGCTCTTGGGCTTAGAGAATTCTGAAGCTCCACTCTGGCATCACCACCAGCAAATCAGCGCCACCAAGCCACCATTGTCGAATCTCCCCCAACCATCGTTGTCAGTAGTGGTGTCAAAATCGAGTTTCTTGTCGAGTTTGGATCGAACCCTGAATTGACCCGTGTTCAAACAGGTCGACCCTAACCCGTCCCGGTTATGTAAACGGGTCAGAAATCTGGACCCGACCCGACATAGTTGACCCGAGGACGGCAAGACGGTGGGCGAGCGCAGACGCAGTGCCGGTGGGCTGGCGGTGACGTGAGTGCTGGTGTGCAGGCTCAGGCAAGTGCACGGGCAGCTTAGGGCACGTGCAGGTGGGCGCTGGCAGGCACAGGCAGCCTCAGGCGTTGGCAGGCACGGGCAACTGCGGGTCGCTTCGGGCGCGATGCGGGCGAGTGCGGGCAGCCTCGAGCGGGAGTGCGGGCAGGCTAGGGCAGACTCGATCAGGCAGCAAGGTCTGCTCATTTCAAACGAGTTTTCGAGTTGACCCGGAAACCCGACGGGTCAACTCGAACCCGACCCGTTTTTTCATTCGGGTCTTATCCCGGAACCCAAACCCGACTTGTTTTAAAATTGGGTCGGGTTAGGGTCGATTTTTTGTTTCGTGTCAAATATTGAAACCCCTAGTTGTTGGAGCTCCATCTATCTTCAATTAATGGTTTTTCTGATCATTGTCACCCGATTACTGTCCTTCTGACCACCGTTACCCACTACTTATGATCATTCTGATCATTATCGTCCAACTATGATCTTTCCGACTACCGTCGTCCGACTATGATTCTTTCGACCACTGTCATCGGACTATGGTCCTTCCGACAATCATTGCTCGACTACGGTTCTTCTGACAACTATTGTCTGCCAACTACGGTCCTTCCAACCACCGTCGCCAGCTAACCACAGTCCTTCCAATCACCTTTACCAGCCAACTATGATCCTTCCGACCACTTTCGCCTGCCAACTACGATCATTCTGACCACCATTGCTCAAATATTGTTCCTCCAACTTTCTTCACCCGCCGACTATGATCCTTTCGACCACCATCACCCGACTACGATCATTCTAACTTCTATCTCCCCCTAACTACGATCCCTCTGACCACTGTCTCCTGAGATTATGGTCCTTCCAACCTCTATTACCTACCGACTATAATCGTTCTGACCATCATCATCCAATTATGAACCTGCCAACCATATGAATAGAACAACATTCTTTTAAGAATAACTACTGTGTCAGTCTCCAATTATGTACTGTGCTTTATATGATGTAAATTTACTTTATTGAGCTAATGTATTCTCCTGAGAAAGGGCATCATTTATAATCATCTACAAGCACTAGTGGATTCATTCAAATTAGACAAGACCTCGCAATTTTTCTCTTTTTTGAGATTTCCACGTAAAAAATATGATTTCTATTATGAACGCTGAACCCCTCTTTCTTATCTGTCTGTGCTGGATCTTTGATCAAAGCTAGGTAATTAAATTAAACATTCTTTACCACCGCGAATTGTTTAGGACGCAACACAAAATTTAATGTAATTATTCAAAAATTTAAAAATTTATAATATATATATATAAGTAGAATAAAATATTTGCATGAGCGGTCAATCGACTGGCTTAGCGGCCAATGCCTTCGCCTTTTTTAATGTTTCCCTTCTTTTTTTTTTTTTTTTTCGGGAAATGTATGGGGACATGTTATGGTATCACTTTCTCGGCGATAATGATTGATTTTTCTAAACTAAATTATGTTGCTTATATGTGAGGCAATCAATGGCAAATGGCAGAGTAGAATAATTTTTATGAAGGTAATAATTCATTATTTAATAAAAATTCATAAATACCTTTTAATAGATATCTACAAACTTTAAACTCTGAAATTTTGGAGGGTCACAAATTAAATATTTTTATGAAAATTATATTTATTTGAGTAAAATACATATTATATAAAAATATCTTACAAATTTAGTGAGGGCATGTGCCACCTTAGAATTTGTTTAGGACAACTTTCTTACTATTTCTTAAATAAAAAATCTACTATAAAAAATAATAAAAAAATGATCACAAACAAATTCTTAATCTCCCTTTAAATCCACCCTTGGAGGTAACTTGTTCATTAATTATGTTAGCATACTTTGAAGAAGTTGTCACTTAGGAGGACCTGTTGGATTGATTAATTGCATTAAAAAAGCTAATTAAGAATAGCCTTTAACACATATACGTCCTAATTGGCCTCAATATTAAGCATCCACAAATATTTAATTAGCATATTTTGGACTGCAAGAAAAAGAAAAGACCAAATTACAAATCAATGGTAATTTCGTTTTCCATGAAGAAATATCCAAAATCAAAAAAAGGTTTTCTCACGCAAAATTAGTCTCACATATATCAAGAAAAATATCATTATTCTTAACATAAATTCCCCATTATTTAGCACAGATTACACACATCAACGCAATTATTTATGAAAAACACAAAATTCATGAAGAACAGCTGGGGATAATCAACCAAATCCATGCACTAATCAGGAAAATAATTAGTTTCATGGAACAAAGCGACTCATAGTCAGTCCCCCATCGGCAACAATGACTTGTCCGGTGATATAAGAAGATGCAGACATGCACAGAAAAGCTGCTACTGTGGCCACCTCCAGCGGCTCGCCTGGACGTCCTAGTGGAATTCCCATATTTTCTACTTTAGGAATACGGCCACCTTTCGCTTCATAATACTGCAACAATTACATCTTCAACTCAATTAAATATGTAAAATACATTTGTTACGAAGGAGCTTAAATTGTAGTTTTCATTCTCACAGATAGCAACAATGGAGTTATTATTGCTCCGGGGGCGATGCAGTTGGCTCGAATGTTGTCTTTTGCCCATTCCAAAGCAAGATTTCTCGTTAGCTGATTCATTGCTCTTGAGATAGTAACGCACCATGCATGCATGAAGTAATGTTCAACTGTTCAAGCACAAGCTTCTAATTAAGTAGACACATCAAAAACTGTATTTATCTTATGAGAAGTTGGAGATCTTCAAATTATTTATATAGGGAGATAAATGATCTATGTTGTAATAGTGGCGTTTGTAAAAAGAATCTAATGCTTTATAATAAAAATAGATGTTGGAGGGAGGATGACCTTCAATCGGTTCCTATTCTAGCTGGCCACAGGCTTTTCACCTCCTTTATTAAATCTCACCTTAACTACAACAAGTATTTGCTATTTTGTTATATCAATCAAAATGCTAAGTTTCATTTCTCTCATTTCTTACAAGTAAAATATCTTCCTATGGGTAAACAATGAGGATTTATTAATAGATTAATTATTTAGTTTGATAAAAAGTGAGGGTAAAGTATTTATAATATAGAAGTTTTAAAAACTTAGGTTTTGGTTTAATAAAAAAGGATTTTTGAGTAAAGTATTTAGTTCATTTTTTAATGTTTTTAAAATTTATTCATTTTTGACCGAATTCCAAACCCATCACAAGCCGATTACTCTTATCGTTAGTTGCCACTCTACTAAAATTATAATGTTTCCGCAATGGTTAGTAGTGACGATTTGCTAACTGTTACTATAGAGAGGTATATAAAATGTGTTTTACTGCTGCTAAAACATTATCAAAATTTAAATATTTTCACAATAGTTATTTGTGGTGGGTTTTATAGCTACTAGATTCTCTCTTGTTCCTCCAATCACCGAGCCTTAATTGACTCATTTACTCCCGCTTGTCTTGATTCCCTCGAGATTGTGTTCCCCATCCGTCTTCTAGGTCCATTCGGCAAGCCTCTACGACCTCATAGTCAAGCCGGCGGCGAATCGATTCATTTTACTCCTACTCGTACGTCTTACCCCTTTCTCTGGGTCCATTCGACAGCCCCTTCACATCCCTTTAGTACTAGCATAAGCAACACTCTTCCCCTCGTGATCGAAACTGCAACATTCCATGAAGTTTTGTCACACACTACAGGAAATTTGTTAATTACCGGTGGAATTTCCGAGGGCTTTCCGGCAGAATATTGTTCGATGGATTTTCCGGCAGAGTTCTAACGGATAACGATGAAAATTTTCCAACTAATTTTTAGGCAGGTTTTCTTGCGGAATTTTTTTAAATGTTCTTTAGTTATTTCGGCAAAGTTTTTTCGCCAGACAGCAGCAGACTTTTTACGTCGAAAATGTTTTCACCAGAAATCCACCGGGAATTTTCAAAATTTGCCGGAAAAGTCAAAATTTTTCGATTTATATGATGTTAATATTCACTCAATTTATATTTGTATAGTATTTTGTTGTTATTTGCAATTTGGTCATAAAATTTGATTTTTTTACATTATATATATTTTAATATGTGATGCCCTTTAGCAGTGGTTTTAACCCATGCTAAAACCACTGTTATAGCCTTCTTGTACATAGCAGCACTTATCAAACCATTGTTAAACCCTTTTTAGTGAACATCAATACAAGGGATTTGTAGCGGTACCTAAACCTCTACAAATAAATTAGTATGTGTTTAAACTGGTGCAGTAGGTTATAAAAAGTGTTACGAAAGCCTGATTTAATAGTAGTGGGTCACCTATCGTAACCCTTGCTGCTAGTCGCCGTCCACCTATTAATTGTTGCCTTAGGCCGCCACCACTAACCACCACCATTGTTGAATCTTATGATATACTCTTTTTATTTTAAATTTAAAAAAACTTGCATTTATTTTATATTCATGCAAACAATTTCAAATATTTCAAATACATTACATTCCCTCAACAAAATATTCCAATTTACTCTTTACAAACCAAATGACCCCTAAATCAATATCAGTATTTCACAAAAAGATGACAATGATGAATGATATATTTTAAATGACAAAAAAGCCCACAAAGAATAATTTATTGCAAATCTACTTAACATATATGGACAACAGCTAGCCTGAGGACATCAATGTTGAATATGATAGTTCTCCATTTTTTTATTTTGGGGTTTTATAAAACAATAATTATGAATCCTAATTCTTGTGAGAATTTCATTCCGCCACACGTTTTTTTTTTTAGTTAAAACCCTCAAAGGTGCCTATGTGTTAATATCAAAAAAGCGGTTACATGATCCTTAAAAGGAACCACTAGCTCTCTACTGCTCGAACGAGCCACAATCAAAAAGGAAAGAAAAAGACCTGCGAGCCTGTGGTTCCTCAACCTAATAGTACAATAGATGTAAAACAAACTACTGGGGCAGTAAACAAACGCCACCCAAAAAAGGAAGCTCATCAAATAGACGTTCAACATCATCTTCCTGCAAAAATGGAGAAGCAAAAAGAAAAACCAAAAAAAGAACACAATAAAGAGTACCTTGATTCCGCCACACGTTTTGCTAAGATAAGATATTTTTTAAGTAGCCTTATCAAGACATGAATCAGAAAATTAGATCATGAAATTATAACTAATTGTAACAATAAATAATATATATTTAAATATGCATATTTCATTTAAATCAAACTTGATTTTTGAAAAATCAGACAAAGAAAAGAAAACAAAATTCAATTAAAGAAGCTTTTATATTCTATCACTTGCCTTTAGTGCTACCATAAACACTTCCTTCAGGAATTCCCACTAAACCTGCAACTGAGGATATGAACACAATACTACCGACTCCCGAGGCTTTGACAAGTGGGTGTGCCAATTGGCTCAAATGGAAAGCTGATTCCAAATTCGTAGACATTACGAATCCATAATCTTCTTCTGTATACTCGAGAGCTGTCTTAAATATACTCGTCCCTGCATTATTAATCTACATCCATAGATAATATTTTAAATTCTTCAACTGAAAAGCCTCTCTCTCTCTCTCTCTCTCCCTTTCTCTATAGACTTTTACTTACAAGTATGTTGAGCTTTCCATCGAACAAAGAAGAGACTTTCTCCATTAGTTTCTCTCTCTCAGCTCGCGAAGAAACATCACAAACAGAGGCAGTGACATCAAGCTTCAAGCTTTGCCAGTGTTGCAGAGCTTTATAAAGTTCTTGCTGATTCCGAGCACATGTGTGAACCTTTGCCCCAAGTCTAGCCAAGTCTTCAACTATCGCTTGCCTTTAATTAATTTTAGTTAAATATTGTTGAATCAGACTCTAACTATCTTCAAATTAGTAGAAAGTAAAGAAGAAGAAAGCTTACCCGATGCCTTTGGAGCCACCGGTCACCAAAGCGGTGGCTCCATGAAGAGACCATCTGTTCTCTAGCTCACTCTTAGCCATACATAAATGATGAAGAGGGATAACTTATTTCTGGCATATATATGTTAAGGTTTCTTGGAACAGCTTTAATATGTAACTGTAGCCAATTTACGGCTTTATCTTGTTCATTCTGATGTTTGGGGACCATTTCCAATTATCTCAAATCAAGGTTATAGTTATTACGTTTCTTTCATAGAAGATTTTTCCAAGTTTACGTGGGTTTATCCCCTCGCTCACAAATCGGATGTATTTACTAAATTTCTTGAATTTCAACGGCTTGTGGAACGTCACTTTCATTATAAAATACACATTTTTAGAACCAACAACGGCGGAGAATTTCTTAATAATAAATTTAAAACATCCTGCAGTCACAACGACATTCTCCACCAATACTCATGCCCTCATACCCACTCTCAAAACGGTGTCGCTGAACGCAAACACCGTCACCTAATCGAAACAACTCGGACCCTTCTCCTCGAAGCATTCATACCGCAAAATCTCTGGATAAATACTCTTCTCACAGCCACCTACCTCATAAATAGATTACCATCCCCTAACACTCACAACAAATCTCCCTACGAACTCCTTTATCGCACACCACCCAACTATAACAATTTAAGAGCATTTGGCTGCCTTTGCTACCCTTGGCTAAAGCCATACTCTACCACCAAACTATCACCTCTATCCACTCCTTGTGTTTTCATAGGCTACCCTACATCTCAAAAAGGCTACAGATGCTTTGATCTCAGCACAAACAAAGTATATACTTCTTGCAATGTTATTTTTAATGAAAACATATTTCCCTATTCAACTCTTCTCCATCCTTCCTCAACCCACAACTCTACCTCTCTAACTACACCACCGTTACGTTTGGTGCCCACAACTCAATTACCCTCCTCGATCAATTAATATCACATATGGACCTCCCAACTTCATTTCAACATCACAATCAACACCTGCTCCCAACCATGCGCATGTGCCCCCATCACAAACTGCTATCTCTCTTGCTCCCTAGACCACCAATTTCCCGTTTTCCAACTCGGCTGATCAAACCCCACAACCCGCAGATGATTCGCCCCCGCCTCTTACCATCCACCACATGACAACTAGACTTAAAAGTGAGAAATCTTTTCCCAAGAAAATCTTCGACCTGTTTCATACCGTTCGAAACGATGAACCAACCACGTACACTCAAGCCGCAAAATCTGAACATTGGCGATGGGCAAAGTCGCAAGAATTCCAAGCCTTAATTACAAGCACAAGGCACTTGGGAGCTAGTTCCACCCGCACCCTCTTAAAACACCCTAGACTGCAAATGGACCTTCCGCACTAAATACAATTCAGATGGATCCGTAGCTCGATACAAAGCCCGCTTAGTAACCAAAGGTTACAATCAGGAACACGGCCTAGACTACACCGAGACTTTCAATCCCGTCGGAAAAATGCCTACTATACGAGTGCTCATTCTCATTTCACTCCACTCACGGCACCCTATCAAAAATAGTCTACATGCACCAACCTCCGGGCTTCCAAGATTCAATTCATCCCAACTACGTCTGTAAACTGAAGAAAGCCCTATATGGCCTAAAGCAGTCACCACGGGAGTGGTACGCCACTCTCTCAAACCATCTGATCAACTTTGGCTTCAACATCATCCAATCAAATCCATCGCTCCTAACGCACAAATCTGGCACCGTCCAAATCTACATCATAATCTACGTCGAAGACATTCTACTCATAGGTAACTCGCAAGCTAAAATCAACCGTTTATTATCTAACCTTCAAGCTACATTTTAGATGCTAAATCTTGGCTCTCTTTCCCAATTCCTCGGCATTCAAGCAATTAAAACCATGTCCAGTATCACGCTCCATCAACAAAATTACGCCCGTAAGATCATTAAGCATGCGGGCATGACAAAGTCCAAACCCGTTTCAACACCAATATCTTGCAAAGGCAGCACCCGAGACAACTCACATGATGCATTCACCAATCCTCACCTTTACCGTCAGCTCATAGGATCGCTACAATACCTCAAGCTTACCCGACCGGATATACAATTTATAGTCCATCAATTGTGTTAGCACATGCAACACCCTCTCAATACTCACAACGAGGCATTAAAACATCTTCTCTGATATGTTCAAGGAACTTCCTACACAGGTATACCTCTCCACCAAACTAACTTAACTCTCTGAGGATACGTTGATGCAGACTGGGCAAGCAACACACAAGATAGGAAATCAATCTCTGGCTAATGCAGCTTTCTTGGCAAGACGCTCATATCTTGGCAAGTCAAGAAACAAAACACCATAGCACGATCCTCAACCGAAGCAGAATACCGTGCCTTAGCCTCCGAAATTCTATGGCTAAGACGCATTCTTGCCTACTTCCACGTGCCACAACACTCTCCCACTTTGGTATACTACGACAACACGTCCGCGATCACCTTAGCCAATAATCCCATTTTTCATGCTCGAACAAAACACATAGAGGTAGACTGTCATTTTATCCACGACTACATCAACAAAAAGCACATCTCGGTCCACTACATATGCACAAATGACCAGCTTGCCGACTTATTCACCAAATCACTTACGGTCAATCGATTCAAATAACTATCCAGCAAACTCATTACTGCTCCGTAGACATCAGTTTGAGGTGGGGGGTGTTAGCCGTACGTGGCACCCTCAGGTTGGACAACAGCTTATACTTTCTGGTTACACATGCAACCCTCGGGTTGGACAGCAGCTTGTACTTTCTTGTTTATGTTTCTTTCCGTGTATGCACTCTCTATTCATACTCACTTGTACTCTTGTCAAGACAATGAATATAGTTTCTTTCTGCTTTATTTCCTCGTCTACCGTGAGTCTCTCTTCTTTCCCTATCAACAAGCAGCACGTCTCTTGGTTGTAGAGGGAAATAGAGTCGTATGCTGGAGCTCTACAATGCTTGGGCTGGATACAAAGAGTGAATAGTTGTGATGCTCCAAATCTTAGCATTATGATGCTGCGATTTGGGCTAACTAGTTTCTTTTCCCTATTCTTTTTATTTCATTTAATGGCTTGCATCCTTTGGATTTGTTTAAGTGCATCTCTTATCTGTTTGGATTAGATTATTATTTGTATGAAGTGAAGAGAGACAAAGAAAAAGTGTGAGAAGAGATATCTATATAATTTTATAGTGGTGTGGCCCCATGATTTTTTCTTTGTATTGAATTTTTTCACATTAAATCCTTATGTTTCTTCTTCTTCCGTGTACTTTTATTTTTCTTGTTTGTTTAGACGTTCAATTATACTTCCATACAAGATAATTCTTGAAGTCTTTGAAATCACGGATTAACAAAAGAGAATTTTTATGTCTGATTTGTTATTGGAAATTTGTCCGAGAATGGTCAAAATGGTTAGTTTCCTCGACAAAATTATTCTTTTGTGTAGTTTTGAATAGATTTTGTTATAATCGGTCAAGTAAATTTTGTAAAAATGGTGCCCTTTATCATTATTTATTTATTTTATCATGACCCAAATTTACTTTCAAAAACTTTCCTTAATATCTTTTACTTTCCAATACCCTTGAATTACAATATTAATTCACTCACAACCAAAAATATGAGATATGTTGGCACTCATTAGTGACAGTTTTAAAACTGCCGCTATAAAATAGTATAAGCAGCAATTTTAACCGTTCCTAAAAGATTGTAAAAAACTTAAGCTTTTTCACAGCTTTTTTATGGAGGCGGTTTGCAAAGTACCGCAAACTTTTTTCAATTTCAAAATAACTGATATCTCACCTCTACCTCCAATACTTGTGACAGTGTCCTAGCTCTTGCTCGACATCCCTTGTTCGTCTGGCCCAAGGAAAAAAATCAACATGAATTTGGCCAGCAAAGAGCAAGGACGACAATGTCGGAAGGTATATTGAAGCGGATTTCACCGTCAAAATCTGGTGGCTCGATGGGAAAGCTACAAAGTTGTTTATCCAGTAGTAGGAAGGGCGACAAGGATGTAGATTTTCGGTTTCATCACATTGATTTTGAACTTGCTTCAAACAAATCGAAGTTCTCGTCGACCGACATGAGATTTCAAAACCTGATTCCACATCAATTGTGCTTACGTCTCCTCCCGTCTTGCCTAGTTCACATGCTTGCGTGTTGCGACATCGACAACCCCGACAAACTCGCTTCACGTCCAATTTCTGCTCGTGGAGGGGTGAATTGGGGAGTTCAAATCCCAAATCCACACTGGAAGGACACGATAACCCTTGCCACCTTAAGTAAGAATTTTAAATTTTTTATTTTGTGCTGTTCTTATTGTATGAATTCCTACATACTTAATGATATTTGAAAACTTTTTTAAATTTATTCCCATGATTAGTCAATCACATTAAGATTAATTAGTATGATAGATCGTTTCGTACAATACAATATGCAGAAATGATATTCAATCATTCTAGAGATCATCTTGGACAAAACCTTAATTTTTGAACTCATCATACGTACTATACAATGTTCATCGTACTGTATGATGTTTGTTGTACTAGATGATTGACAGAGATGATTTTAATCATCCCGAAGATCATCATGTATGATCTTAAGATAATTAAACTAATCGTACCTTATGATTTATAGATCGTATTGTATGATCATTATACAAAACTTGAACAGTTCATCCTGTGATTGGTCCATCGTATTGAATGAACTTTGGTTTTTAAACTAATCATATTGTACGATCCTTAAAATTTTTAGTTTTTTTTTAAGTCTTGTATAAAAATTTTCTATTAGACTTTTGAAATA